ACTACTTGAATCAAACATAGGGTCGAAAAGATTGCACTGTCAAGACTCACACCTCCAAACAAGTACTAGAGAGGCATGCTTTGCTCTCTAAGTAGTACTGCTTTATTTAATAATTACATTTGTATCTTATAAGGAACTGATTAGGGTTGCTCAAATCTTGCTTAGAAACTTGAATTGGGCTGCTAAGAAAAGGAAGCTAGATATGATAATAGTGGATAAACTCTTAACTTCCAAACTGAATTCTGAAATAGGTCATTGCCATCGAATGTTAAATTGTGCATGCAGTTCTGGGTGAAACAATAGGAAGCAACTAAGATTGAAGAGCTAATTAGAAAGCTGGGCTATGTCATTGTTTATATATATATATATATATATATATAAATATATAAATTAAGGAATTTCCATTCATGTGACAAGAGGAATCTTTCCATTGATTTAGAGCTGTTTTAGCCAAATTGGGAAACCAGAGAGTTGGACATAATAAGCTAATGAAGAAACACAGTTTTCTATAATGTTTTTTAAAGTTCAAATCAACAAAGTCTGCAGCTTCACCTTCCCCCATTTTTTTTCTACTAATACTTTTAATGCAGCTACCAAAATTAACTGAACTTATTGAGTAGTTGAAATAAATATGCATATCTTCTTCTCTTTGACACAATGACCTGTTCTCTTACCATGAAAAACATTTGAAAGAATTAGCAGAGGATTTAAAGTAGAAAAAACTCAAAAAGACAGTCCAGAGGGAGGCACTAACTGAGCAAGGTCATATTCACTTTTTCAAGTCGTCGTAATTCAACATTTAAGAATATTATGTGGCAGCCTAGTGGGTTCTGGGAATTTGATGTATGCGCAGAAATTACTTCCTCGAGTACATCTATAAATATATTTCTTTATGCACCCATGTGAAACATCAGCGGTACCTTCAGGAGCAGCTTAATGGATTGTGCATTAGACTTTAAGGGCATGTTTGGAGTACGATAAGACATGGGATAGGACAAAATTTATGTCTCGTGTCATTATGTCTTATGTTTGGAGCGATTATGGGATAAAATAACTGCTATCTAATGTTTTGTCCTATTCTGAGTTCGTAAGGAAATATCCCACCTACGCAGGGACGCTGGGACGCTGGGACGCTGGGACGC